CCCCACCTGGGACCCTACGTACGGCGTATCACTACCGTCGAACAAAACTTGAGGCTCTCCGTGCTCCTCCAGGACTTTGAAGGTGATAGGAACGTACTCAAGGAAATCATTTCCTCTTGTCCACATGTAGTCAGTATTCACATGCCAGTCCTCAACGATCGGACGTTACACGCGCTCCCTCAAGATATTAGGAACATGAACCTGTTCTGGCAGACCACCAGAACGGAATTTGGCCTCCTTCCACAAACCCTCACTAGTCTCACACTCCGGTTAAGCCACCCTTCTTCGTCGTTAGACTCGCCCCCAAGACTCGAGCTACCCAACCTTCGCGCACTCAATATATTCCAATTGACATTATTCGAGTCCTGGGTCGACACAATTGTAAACCATTGGGATTTTCCTCTCCTCCAAATCCTAGTTCTCTCGGGTGGTACCATGACTGGTCCGATTCGGATCCTTCAAAAGTTTGCGTCAACCCTGCAGACCGTAAGGATCTACGGTCGCTTGGTGCCCGTTCAAGGTCAGCAAAGCGAGCCTCTCTCACTACCCCAGCTCAGGCGGCTTGATATCATGTCTACCTGCGAGGTTTCCGTTTTCGAAAAGTCGATGTACCTCCCCAGCCTTGGCACCGTCTTCATCTACTGGCCGTATTATCAGGAGATCCCGTTCTTCGATTCAGAAAAGGACCTTAGTCTCAATACGTTTAAAAGGTTTTTGCGTGCCCTGCATAGGTGGTGTCCGCCATCGGCCACAATCATGCTTGAAGCTAGCGAGTTTGTAGACTGGCTCTTGAAGCAACGAGCGATTACTACTATCTTCAAAGAGGTAAGAGACGAGGGGCGACGTTTAGTGGTGCTCGAGCAAGAAACCTCTGTCATGTAGGGTTAGTGGCTGCTGTCATTGAAATAAACTGTGAAGATGTATCCCAAATGCTTTTTAACATCCGAAACTAAGCAAAAATAGAGTTCAGGCTTCGTTCAGACCTCACAGATGCCCCACCCCATACGTGGGGACTGGGCCGGCGAACGAAGCAAAAAGTATGCATTGAGGAAGTCGTTCTTCATGTATATCTGTATTTTTGTATAATATTATTGCCGCTGTAAACTGGGGGTTCCTCAGGCGACGGAAGTGATCACTATGTTTGAACGCTTCGACAATGGACTTGTTTGGCTCTCTACTCCTACCTGGCTGACCGCTCCTCGACGCCGTCTCATCATCGCTATCGATCTAATACCTTGTACATCATGTCTGAACAGGAAAACCTTGATGCAATCGGGCAGTTGATCATGTCCCACGGACGAGCTCGACAACGAAGTTTAAATGATCACGCCAATAGCGTTCAAGATATCATTCAAGGTACCATGATAGATTCTGTCCGGATTCCACGACTAACTGATATTACAGAGGTGGAAACCCCTCTCGTAGACAAAGAGGCACAACACCTTCATGTTGGCCACACTGCCTATCCGGCGCGACGTTCCATCAAGGTCACAGACTTACGTACACGTCCAGCACCCATACAAGGGCTCTTGCCAATCGTCACAAGCGCATCGCCGATTTTCTTGTATTCGGGAGGCAAAAGAAACGGAAACGGCGGGAATCTACCACCCCACCTGTGCAAGGCACGCAGACCTTGAGCAGCGGCACCAGCGCCTACGAGAACACAGGCATGGCAGTGATACAGTCGAGACAGACTTCAGGCCCAAGGCACAGCTCTACCCAGTGCAGATGAAGGTTGTGGATGGAAGCCACCCTCTCGCAAAAGAGCCGGCACTCACCGTCATGCCAGGGCCCGTGGTACTCGTGTACTTCACTAAGTCCACGTGAATAATGTTTCGTTCTAAAAGTGGTCATCAGAAGTGCGCTCTTTGTAATGGATTTCCGCGCGAGCCGTCGTGATGAGCGTCGTGCGAAGTGATACAATAAAATATTCTACTAGATAACATGTTATCCTTTCTACAAATTTTTTATACTGAGGATGTAGCCCCTGTAGGCTTTTGAATGTGGTAAATGACCTTACAGGCTCTTTCCTTATACTTGGACACGACCCACCTTTGGCTACCTTCTCATCTTCGGCATGCACGATAATCAGTATCGTGAACTCAAGAAACTTGTGAAGCATGTTCATGATAGTGAAATCGAAGCTCGTCAAGCTGAGGGGTGGCGTCCTCTTCGCCAGCATAAGAAGGAACTGGCAGAATCACTGTTTCGCAGCCTTGGCAGCCCGGTAAGTGATATCTTGCATTTTGCACCAAAAAGCATCATACTCCTTTTAGCCCTTGGGCCAGCCTTACACCAGTCTGTATGGGTTCCACATTTCAATTGGTAACAGGGATCCCAGTGCATTTAGTGCGACGCCACGAGATCCGGGGGCCTTGTCTCCTCATCGAGCTGAGCCATGGAGTCTTCTGGTAAGTGTCTTGTTTTCCCATTCAGGTTACGTACGGTAACAGTAAACCAGGGCTTTGAGCTAAATTCGACAAAGCCCCGAATGCACGGATCCGACAACCGGTTGGCGTGCCGTTTTGGGCGAGCAATATGTACAGTATTCATGGGCCCGCAACCTGTGTCTGGCTTCACAGATGTATATTTGACAGTCGTGTCCCATCCAGTGCACTAACCCAGTTTGCAGGTCTCTACAGCATGGAGCTGAAGAGCAGGGGGCTGCCGCCATTGGAACGACTCTCAAACGATCTAAGCATAGAAATGCATGCCATCACCCTCCTTTCAGCCAGGAGGTTGAATAAAGGCTCGATTATGACTACAAACTATCGTGAAGCGTCGATCAGGCTTCAAGTGTTCGCCAACTCTGCGAGTCTCATGGAGGAAATATTCCCGCATCGATATCTCGAATATTTCCGAAACAAAAGAGTTTGTATAGAGCCATTTTTTATGCCTGTCTGATCCAATTTTACTAGCACGTTCGTGATGAGGACCTCGCAGCGGTTGAAACGCTCCGCAACAAAATCGTCGAGGAGACGAGAGAAGAAATAGCCCAATCCATTTGGGCTATTGATCTTGTGGAAAGACCAAAGGACGAAGAGATGCAATGCCATATACGGCTCCAGGAAGGTGAGTACTAGCCCTGTAAGAAACTGTTTGGAGCTTAAAGTACTCTAGAGCTCAAACAGTTGAATCGACAAAAGTTCGATGACATATTTTCAAATATTACCGACAAAGTTACTTCAGATTCAAACTGCCAATACGAATGCCACAGGCTCCTCACACCCAGTCCATTGCAAGCCACGGATAACCCCACGATTCCGTTCACATGGATTATTGATCTATTTCGGGACAAGCTTCACTACATGGGCAGCTATTGTGCAAGCGAGGAGCGCGCGCTTGTTGAAGATCCTAATGCGACCTGGCCCGCATTGTTGTGGCTATTCATTTGCACAACATACATGCGAGGTCCATTATGCAAGATGTTCGGAGAAGAGTTTACACTGGGATTACCCCAGTAAGTACACACAAAATTTCATAGATAATGGCTTAGGTCTTGACAGCCATCCAATGCGATTATCTCTGGGGGCAAAAGCCCATGCATTGATAATGTTTTTGAGGTTACCAAAGGTATGAACATAGGATTTTGGGTTTTACGAGTACTAACCATCTCTACAGACTCAAGACGGGAGGCCCAATCTCAATCTTTCTTGGCACGACGTGACTGTTATGTATCAATATGGGAATGTAGTTTTCCTGTCCTGGGCAGCAAACGTTGTCCTAAGCAACTATGCTCGTGATGAACTCCGAGTTCTGTCTGCGGACATGATCAAGCATTCCTATCCGCTCGCTACATTCAACGGCCCTCACATTGAACCAGTCGGCATTTAGGCAAGTGAATAACAAGCAGTGGCTAGTTTAGCTTGTCACACCGAGTTCTTTTTGTGGTTTCCCCCTGAAACAGAGATATCTTTAAATAACATGTACACTTAACACTACGAAGACGCGCGCGTATTGGACGTTGTTGTTTCCGTCCCCCGAATCCTTCCAACATCTTCATTCGCGACCCATTCCACGCTTTCCCCTACGAGAAAAGCCGAAGCCTATGCCGCCGAAGCCCACTGACAATGCCCACGCCGCCACGAACAACGTAAATGATCTCGAATGGCTGCGAGAAGTTGTTTCCTCGCCCAATTCAGGTCTCGACGAGGCCGATACGCGCGGACGAGAAGAGAAGGGGGGGG